GGGATGGAATGTCTGGCCAAGTCACAGCTTTCTTTTAATTTGGGAATATTTTATCATGCAAAGAACAGGCTTGGAACTGGTGAAGGTGATAAATACTTTTCTGTAGATATTTTGATTTTGTGAATGCTCTGCTTCTTTTGTAAAGGTTGATTTCTCGTATTTGGATTATACATATTTTTTATTTAGTTTGGTTTTTTATTTGTTTGTTTTTTCCATTAAATTTATTGGAATTACATTGATTAATAACATTATATAAGTTTTAGGTGTACAGCTTTATAAATCAACATCTGTATATTCCATTGAGTGTTTTTCAAAGCCTTGTCATCAGCTGGCTGCCTTTAGCCAATTCACTATTCATTAGCACCTCCACCAGGGGGCAGGAAATCAAATTTGAAACCTTGCCAGCTACTCGGATTAAAACAAGAATGGAATGTGAGCTAGATTTGGATTTCAATATTTAAACTCTTTATCCGCTATTATAAAAGAGTTAGTTCTCTGTAAAGTGAATATAAACTTGTTTTGACTATAGACACTGTAGTTAAGTAACACACATTAAGCAGATAGTCTCTTTAAAATAAAACCTTTCTCTTGAACATTTTTCTTGTTCTTCTAAAAGTGTGACTTCAGAAAAAGTTTTCTCTCATACTGATTACCTGTGAATTTTACCTAAAAAGATCTTTGACAGGTCAAGGGACATAACTGGAACATTTTGTTAATATATAAACACTAAACTTTTAGCTGCTGTGTTCCCCACAAAGGCAAGAAGTGCGTTTAAAAGTATTTGTACTTGTTAGCATAAAGTTTATTACTAGGTTTTAAGACAAACATTCATGTAATATCTGAATAATAAATTAGATTCCCTTGAATATCATCTTCAGATTTTTTACTGGTATTCTGCAAGTAGAAATCAGATGCAGTCATCAGATCTTTAAGCTGATTAAAAATTGCATCAACTCTTTCTAAAAGGAAGAAAAAGCAAGTGTAATTTATTTTCTTTTATATCAGCAAAAATTTATTTTCTCAATTGTGGACAAATGCATGGCATGTCACCTTACAGGTCCTGATATAGGTAGCAGAGTGGCCTAACCACAAATGGAAGGGGCAGTACGTTGTCATCTCATTGTAGCATATTAACAACAAAACAGTTTTATTAGCTATCTCGTAACTATTAAGAGATTACCTGAAGAGGCCCCTCTTTTGATTACACTGTTCACATGGCACCCTCTGTGTGCTAATAACAAAGGTTTGGTGGATCCCATTTCTGATACTAGAGCATTAGAAGGCAGGTTTAGGAACAGCCCCTCCAGCTAACTACAGCACATAACGGAACAGGATGACCACTTTTATCTACCAATGGGACTCCACCGTGCTCCACGCCTGCCCATCTTGGGAATATAATGGTTTCCAAAAATGTTTAAGCATAGTTTAAGGGACTTTGAACTTTAATTTTTAAATAGATTCTAGAGTTCTAATTTGGGTTTGAATAGAAGTTTCATTTACATTCTGTTACCAGTTATAGCTCTTATGGGAAAATTGTATTAAAGAGAAGGCAGAAAGAGGGAAAAGGTAAATCATGTAATAGTTAAGGGTCTCTGCAGTTGTAGAAATGTTACATTAGTTAGTGATATATATAACTAATGTACATTGCAACTCAGTGAAGGTTTTGTTTGCTTTTTTCCAGCTATCAAATTGTTTCGTTATAAGTTAAAGCCATATATTTTATTTACAAGTGCACATTTTGAAGGCTATGAAAAAATACAAAAGGGAGTTCCATTTCTCTAATAACTTGAGCAGTTGACATGGGATTATCTCTGAGGTCTGTCTCTCTATATGTTCATAAGAGCTAAACTTTTTGAAAGCTAAAGAATCAAGGGACAACCCTCTCACAGAACCTGCGGCTTACTGAAAATTCAATACATTCACCGCCGACTGACCCATCAAACCATTTACGCCCCCATGTCAGAGTCCGAGGGTGGTGGCTACTCTGTTAGAGACACTTGAGTCGCTGATTTTATTTCCTGGTTGTTTACTCAAAAGGAATTTATTATTTTTTTAAATATATGTTTGAAGAATACTTTTATGCCAGGACAGCAATGAATTATATCTCCAGGGCTCGTATTTTTGAAATACGTGCCCCATTTGAACCTTCTCACTGTTACTGAAGGGGAAGCTTTACACACATATACCAAGAAAAGGAACTTTTAAAGATTATTATTTAAACACGGACATCCATTTCAGCAGTGGGTAGGGATACCACCTCGGGCAGGTGCCCTTGCCCAGTCACTCCCAGGACTCCCAGGAGAGGGAGTCCCCGTGGGGCACGCTGAAAGAGACCCGCGGGCGGGGGGGGCGCCTTGTGCAAGCCGGACGCGCCGTCAAGGGGTCCCGTGCAGAACCCCCTTCCCACGGGTGACGCCTCTGTTCCTCTCCCCAGCGCATGGACATGGACCGGCGGCGGGAGGACGCCCGCAACCCGAAGCGCAAGCCTCGCCTGATGGAGGAAGACGAGCTGCCCTCCTGGATTATCAAAGATGACGCCGAGGTGGAAAGGCTTACGTGTGAGGAAGAGGAGGAGAAGATATTTGGCCGGGGGTCTCGCCAGCGCCGGGACGTGGACTACAGCGACGCCCTCACGGAGAAGCAGTGGCTGCGGGTAGGTGCGGCCTTCCCACCTGTCCTCGGCAGGGGGCGCTGCGGCGGGCTCGGGAAAGCGGGGCCGAAAGCCCCAGCCCTCCGGGGGCGCAGGTGGCCAGGGAAGGCTACATGGCTGTTGAACATGGGCATAGTCATTCTGCTGTTGTCGTGGAATCGTTCCACATTTCAAGGCAGTACCTTGAAATATGAAGATTTATTATTATTATTATTATTTATTTTTTATTTTTTTTGCTGGAGCAGAGTTGGCCATTGGAAGCTCAGGATTATTAGCGCTGGGAGACCCACTAATGTTTTACGACCAATTGCCTGGCCGGTCATGCCTCACTCTCTCGGAGTTAGAATCAAAATGTGGAAGGGGGCCTTAGGGATCTTTTTAATTGGGCCTCCTCATTTCTTGGTCTTTAATTGGAGTTTTACTTTTCCAAGGCCTGCAGGGATGGTTCAGGGACGGTTCAGGGACAGGCATCTTCTAACTGCATTGTTATTTCACTAGAGCGGGAAGGTTCCTTGGTGCTCTCTTGGTTTTACAGACAAAGCAGTTGAGGCCCAGAGAGGTTCAGTGACGACTGCAGGGTCACACAGCTGGCTAGAAATAACAGAATCAGCGAGTGTTGTTGCATTCGTGCGTTTGCTTTCAGTTTGATCTGATCTGCCTGTCCATCGCAAACCCGGACTGGGGTCTGAGACTCGGGCCGTTGATGCTTAGAAATGTTTTTCTTTAGTTTGGGTTTGTGGGGGTTGTGTGTGTACTGCTTTGGAAAAGGTTGATTTCTTACCTTGAATGAGGAATGAAATCTCAGGAGGTTCCTTGGGGAGCACAAAAATATCAAAAAGCTCGTAGGAGCCACATGTGTGAACTCCAAGGCCAGTGTGAATCTTCCATTTGAAGGGTTGGCCCTCCTTCTGCTTCATGGGAGCAGACTGAGTACCTAGACAGACAGAGCAATCTGGGACATGCATTTCAGGCAGGGCCAGTAAATGCATGCTGGAAATAGTAACGCAGTTGGGTGAAAACCAAACAAAATAGAGGCTGTTGTTGTGAGTTGTTCATTTTATCAAAAGGGAATACAATTTCCAAGGTTTGTAGAACATGGATTTTAGGACCCAGGTTGCAAGTAGGTAGGTGAGTAGAAAGGCGAAGGTATTTTGAGATTGAATGGCAATAGTAGGCAGGTCTTGGCACCACTTAAGATGTGATTTACTCGGGACGTTGTATGATGAAAGAGGCGTGTTCTAAATTTCGAAAAGATTGAAGTCTGTGGTACTCTGAAAAGAAAGACTAAGAAAGCATTGCTCATGTTTATGTTTGAACAATGGCTATGAAATGTAACTTTTGTGTGATTGGTTTACCGTCATATCCAAATATTCCAGTGGCCTCAGAATACGGTTTTATGGATTTCTTTTGTTTCACTATCTTGAGGCTGTAGCTGTGTAACTAAGATTGGTTCCGTAATGTAAAGAGATTTGTGTTTGTTTAATAATCATTTCTGAGCTCAGAAAAATCTGTTCCCTTTCTCTTTTATTTAAGTAATGAATTAAGTACCTGGAGCACTTACAGGAGATGAGACATTAGTCTGGGCCAACATTTTAAAGTCAATCTTTATATATGCATAATCTCCAGATACTGTAAGCAAAATAACCTTGTTTATTGGGTAAGAATGTTGCTGAACTTCTTATTTTTTTAAATCATCATTAGGAAATGCTCTTAAGAAAAATAACATGAATCTCAGAAAGTTTACAGGTTTAGAATACCTCTTTTTTTTTCCTTTTTTATTCACTTTTTATCACTAATGATTAGCACAGTGCTTAGCCCATAGTAGAGACTATGGATGTTTGCAAAATGAAATTATAACCTAATAAGAGGAAAATGGAAAGTTACTAATTTATCAATAATGTTAGTATAACATTTGTCTTTCTGGTGTATCTAGTAGACTTCCTTTGATCGGTAACCTACACATCTAAAAAATGGATAGAAACTAGGTTTGTTTTACAAAGCTACACTGTGAAAGTGATGTTCATAATTTTCAACCTAAGGTGCATTGAGAGATAAGTCACCCAAGGGGGACAAAACTTTTCGTAGTCCAGCTCTATTGTAATAATTTCTTTTGGAACCCCAGCTTTTGAGAAGTGGATGTCCATTTTTGGTATGAGCTGGTAACTTGCTGTTAGCCAGGAACCAATGCAGAATGTCCTGTGGCCTAAGTGTTCAAAATAGATACAACTGTCATTTGTTTTATTGTTTACCAGTAGCAATCCTGTTTAATATCAGTATGTTTTAAGCTTTCTAATCATAAAATTATATTCAAGGGGTTCTCATGGGCCTGCATGTGAAGAGATGTTCTTGACCGGCTTAAGATTGAACACGTTGGGTGAACCCAGCCAACACAGCCTTGAAAGGGAATTTGGCAAGAACCATCGTGTAAGAGATGCTGTAACAGGGCTACAATAATTCTTCTTTTTCCTGGCAATGTTGGACAAAGCCTGCTTGGCAGAGGCATCGAAGATACATAGAATCCCAGAGTTGGAAGGCAACTGAATGGAGCAGCTACCCCTTCTGTGCTTAAATCACATTGTCTGCGGAGCCCATGCCAAGAGGCTGGCTGGCCCTAAAGTAAACACTCACCTTCTTGTCTGCATAGCCCCCCCAGATCTTCCTCTCTCTGAACGGAATCCTTTCCCTTTAGCTGCTCCTCACTGGCCTGGATTCTGTTCCCTCATGTGAACAGAACAATATTTTTTCTCCTTTTAGCATCACATCCCATTGCATGAATGTTTGAAGACTCATGTTTGGTCTGGAATGAACTTTCTACCCTCCTCTTTCTTTTGAATTTTACTTGTCCTTCAAGGCCCAACTCAGTTGCCACCACTTCTCTGATGACCTCTACAACTAAATGCTGATTGCACTACTTTCCACTCTGTTCTTATATTTCTTTGCTTGTCCTTCTGTCACAGCTCAAATCCAGTTTCCTGGTTTTCTTGGTAGTTGCTGATATGCCTGGTTTCCTGACTAGTGGATAAGCTACATCTTACCAGAACTTAGGTCTTCCGTGGGCAAACTAAGTGCTCATTGATTGCCCAGTTGAAATCGCACCAGTTGATGATTGATGTATAAGAGTGTAGCCTACAGTGATGTTCACTGCTGCAACAGATGAACATCTGTTCATGCCCTACTCATAGGCCTACTCAAAAAAATAAGTAGAATTTATGTCTCACATAGAAGTCCACGGTGGGCATTCTTGGTTGGTGGGGACAGCATCCCTCCATGTGGGCCATTTAAGGATCCAGGCTGAGGGAGCCTCTGCCAGCTTAGACATCCTAGTGAGCTGGAGGTGGAGAAGACAGCATGGAGTGGTGGGTGTGGGGTTCTAATGGCCTAGGTCTGAAGGTTCCATGTCACTTCTGCTCACCTTCCATTGGCTAGCACTCAGTCCTGCAGCCACGCTAGCTGTAAGGAAGACTGGGAACTGTGGCCTGGCTGTAAGCCCAGCAAAGTGAGATTTTGGTGACTAGGTAGCAGTCTCTGCCTCAAAACACTTAGGTTAAAGTTAAGTGATATGATATGGCCACTCTCTTTAAAGATTTTATTATGGTTTCATCACAAACAGGTTTTATTTTATAACCATAGTATGCTAAAAATTCCCACAGTGTCCTTTAGACAATCTGTTTAGTTGGAAGATTTTAACAATTTTTTCTGTATTTGTCATGTTGTTTTAAATGAGAAGGATCACAATTTTCAACACAGCTCAGTTAAAGAGAAAAGAAAAAGAGAAAAAAGAAAAAGAGAGAAAAGAAAAAGGCTTTTAGTTTGTTTTAAAATTCCTCTTTCCATTGAGGAAACCTAAATTTCTTCGGTGTTAGCCAGTCTCAAGTTAACTTCATCTTTTTCCCCTAGTCAGTTCAGCCTTCCTGTAGGCTATGGGCTGTTTCTTGCTTCCCCCCAGGGGCTCCTGTCCCATCCTCCTTCCCAAGATGGCATCTGGAGAAAGGTGGAAGCTGGAACTGGGATGCACCTTAAGATGCCTCATTAGCATAACAGAGACAGCTATCACTCAGGAAATTCCTAGGGTTTTAGAAACTCCCTTGCCAGGAACCCAGGACAACAGCCAAATTGTTTTATACAACAGGTAGCAATATCCTCAGTCCTGACCTCCTGCCTCTCTTGACTCCCTCTCTCTGCAGGGAGGCTCTCTACCCTGCCTCCCTGTTTTACAGCATCTTCCCACACATGGGTGGCCTAGCCCGAGTGCTCTGCACCATGGCTTCTGCAGTTCTGAGGGTCCCTGTCCACCAGGCTCAGCTCTTGATTGGGAAGAGCCTTTGGGGTTGAGGGAACTCCTCTCAGTCAACAAGGCCTGGTGCAGACTGCTGCCGATGCTGGGCTCACACATCCAGTTTTGGAAGTCAGTGGTGTCATTTGTTTTTCTGTCTTTGCATACCAACTTTATCCCACCTCCTCCCCCCCAAGGCAGCATGTTGCTCCCCTGAGCAAGGAATGGGCTCTTTAGAAAGTGTGGAAGAGAAAATATTATATGAGGTACCATTTTATAGCTTTGCCGTGGTCTACCCGGGTGATAACAGTCCTAAATCATATATGACGTTGTATTTGTGCACACACAATAATTTGCTCGTGTTAATAATTTCTTGGAAAAATATCTCTGTTTCTTTATGTGTGAGAGCAAGTTTCATGGACCTAAATTGGCAGACGTCTGATGAGCCCCGTGGGCCAGGTTTTTTTTTTTTCAGTTTAACCATGTGATGTTCCTAGTATTGTAATCATTATTGAAACAGGGGCCCTGTAAAATTGGGGTACCTGAGAAGCCAAAAAGTGGGCTGAGGGCATATCCTGGAATGCCTGGCTTTTCTGTGCTTCCTGTTCCTTTGGTCCTTCTGCCAACTTCAGAATCCTTCCCTTCCTTAAAACATTTAGTGACATCCCAGAGTTTCTTTAATTGCTGAGTGAGTGATTTGTGCCCTCCAGCACTTGAAGATAATTGGAAT